ACAAAAGTAATATAGTAGTTCAAAGAGTATGGACATTTACAAAAACATTTTAGAGCTTCTATTAAACCATTATGATTGTACAATTACCAATGGTTTAAAAAGCATTTATACTGTAGAATGATTAAAAAGAAAGGTATATCTGTAAGCATTAACAGGGAAAGATGTCCACAATATAGTGATAAATAAAAGAACAAGGTGTAGAATTATATGTATGTTATTATCTCATTTTTGTTTGTTAAAAAAATAAGAACCCTATATTTTATATGTTCACATAGGCACAGAAATAATTTAGAAGGCTAAATTCCTATAAGTTAACAATAGTAAATCTATACAGGGGGGACAGTAGCAGAGAAAAGGGATAACTTTTCCCTTTTACCATGTAAACTTCTATGCTGCTTAAATTGTTTTTTATATAACAAATAAGCTTTACTTAGGCTGCTAAATGTTCTCAACAATAACTTACTGAAAATAAGGATTTATACATTTACATTTCATACATAATTTCTAGCCTAAAACCCTTTAGAAGTGTGCCCTTAAAAGAGGTTTTTTTTTTAATTTTTAAGTTTCACTAACACAGAAGACTCAGGTATAACTGGTCAACTTTATGTTTACCCTCTGAGCAAACCTCGTGTGAATTTCTTCCAGATGTAAACCAAAAGAGAAGACTGAAGTAATCCCAAAGTGAGGGGAAGAGGAACTGAACTGGGAGGATAAACAAAGGACAACACAGGCACTTAGGACACTACAAAGAACTGGGCAGCACTTGGAAATAACTGTACGTAAGAGGGCACAGTACTTTCTCACATTTATGTTCTTCAAGATAATGTGTTCTTTTCAAAATATACATTCAAGAGACATTTTAAAGCACCAATGTGTGCTAGACACTATAGAAGATGCTGCATAACATTTGTGACATTTTCCTTTCATTTGACAAGATTAACATATACTTGGCTCGTTGAATAAAATATTAAACGCATAAAATAAAAGTAGAGATTTTGCATTCTGACTATGTCTTTGTTTTATTTATTTTTATCTGGGCATTAACTGGAAAAAACAACTTGGCTTGCTTTTGTTCCACATTTTTGCAGAACAGTTTCCTAAGTCTTTGTGAGAGAATAAAAAAACAGACTTCCTCCCAATTTATGGAGTCACAGCCCTAATCTTATCCCCCGTCAGTGACTGCTTCAGATACTTCATTCTCCTGTAAAACAGCTGTATTCTAATCTGAAAACTGTTCTCTTTGTCATATGGCAACTTAGAGTTAAGAATCTTTATAATCAAAGTCTCCAACTGAGAAAGAATCACTGGCAACTTTCTTCTTCACTGTTGTCAGGCAAGCAGAAACAAACCTAAAATAGTTTAGAAGTGGAACAGACTGGGCCTGGCTGGCTGACTAATGTGCACTTTTCTTAAGAGCCTCTCAGGCAGTACTGCCAAATTCTCATAATTTGTAAAATAGGACATCAAGGAACCTTAGAAATCATCCAACCTAACCCCTCACTTTACACAACTGGGGCTGAGTAGCCAAGAGAAGCGCCCTGGTCTGTCCAACATCACAAAGCAAGTTACTGACAGAGCTGAGTTTAGAACTTACGATCTTCTGTTCTTTCCACCTTATGCTTCTTTCTAAGGTAAAATGGAAAACAATGGAATCAGAGACCATAGGGAAACCAAATCTATTATTATTGCAAAAACTGTAAATGACCTTCAAATTTTCTAACAAGTCTAAACTAACGGAGAAAGGATCAAAACACTCCCAGCAAAGAAAAACACTGGAGCAGAGGGAGACCGTTAGCTTTTCAGATTTATCTTGCACAAGTCTACACCATGGGAAGATGTCAAGCACCCCAAGGACTTACTCATGTCTGGGTAATAGATGACTGTAAAAAATAAAAGGTTTTTTAAAATCATTTCTAAGTCAGCACAATACTCTAACACATCTGAAACTTTTAAAAAAGAATTACTGATACCGTAAATGATTAGTCTTTCACTTGTATGCAGAATGGAGTGTTAGGAGGAGGCTGGAGTCAAGAAAAAGAGAAGACTGAAGTAATCCCAAAGTGAGGGGAAGAGGAACTGAACTGGGAGGATAAACAAAGGACAACACAGGCACTTAGGACACTACAAAGAACTGGGCAGCACTTGGAAATAACTGAATAGACATAAAAAAGAAAGAGAAGAAAAAAGAGAGATGGCTAGAGTTTTGATGACAGAGGAACTTCAATTGCTGATTAAGTCCGCTGAACAACATTTACTGGCAAAATGAACAGATCAATCTCTAAATCAGTTTTCGAACCTATGAAATCCCTCCCTCCTACCTCTCAGGATCATTGTGAGGATGAAATCGCACACATGATAGCACAAAATCCAGTGCCTAGCACATAGTAGATGCTCAAAAGTTGGAGGTTAAATGTATGAATTGTCAGCTCACCAAAATGTTTGGGCGAGTTCAAACCCACCAAAACTTTTCTCTCTCTCTCATCTATACATCTCTTCAGCATCAAGGGATGAAATGACTCAAAATTTTAAGTTGTCTAGAATACATACAGACCACTTTTCTATAACTGGCAGCTCTGCTTGAGCACACAAAACAAACTACTGTCAACTAAGAGATACAAAAGTTACAGAAGGGGGGGGGGGCGCCTCTGTCCAGTCACGTGACCACGTGTCAGTTTCTTTGTAATTCTGTTGGATTTCTACTGTCACTTCATGTCATGCCTTCCTCAGCCCTTTTGGCTGACAGCTGAGGACTTGTTTTTTACAATCTTGACCCTTGCTTCCTTTCCACTCATCCACAGCCCATACAGACGTAGTTAAGTAAAATACAAAGATGAGGGTTTACCTTCAATTCAATAAAAGGATATTCAAAGCTATCTACATTGAGCAGGGGGCACTTCTTCACAAGCATGCAACTCCTCATCTCTTCCCACTGAGGCTGGCAGAATGCCTCACTTTCCACTAATCATTCCAATTTACTCATGTATTCAACTCCTTATTCTAGCATGAAAATAAACCATTCAGTATGTTAGGCCTTTATTTTCTAATTTCCTACAGTTTGGTAGATGTGCTGCTTGATGTTGCCAACAGCAATTTACAGCAAATTACACTATCTACAGTCAAAAATGTTAGCAGAATCTATAAATGTGTCTCATTCTGATAAGACTAAATCTCTTGAGGACAGGAATCAAACATGGTTGTCTATATTTCTGAACAACCCACAGTATTCTGCTTTTTATATACGAGGCATTCAACCAATTTTTCAGTCGAATTGAGAGGACAACATGGTGAAGGAGAAAGAGCACTGAACTAGGACTCCATAAATGTGTATTGCAAATTTGGTCACAAACCGTGTGACCTTAGAAAACCATATCCTGTGGATCTCAGAAGCCTCTCCTTGATGCCAGGACTTCAGGAGTTGAAAAGGGCTGCTCTACATCCCTTCTTACTGCAGTTAAAATAGTCCAGGCCTCTTGGAGGCCAAGGCTTCTGCCTAATCACTTAGCATCTGTACACACCGAGGGAAAAAAAAACAAACCCATAGCCTTCCAGTCGATTCTGACTCATAGCAACCCTATAGGACAGAGCAGAACCGCCCCAGAGTTTCCAAGAAGCGGCTGGTGGATTCGATCTTCCGACCTTTTGGTTAACAGCCGAGCTCTTAACCACTGCGCCACCAGGGGTCCCAATGCCCTGCATAGTGCTGACCCACAGTTGGTGGGTAATAAGCATTTATCTGTGCCCATCACCTCCATTAGAATATGCTTATATGTGATTATATGCTCCTTGAAGGCAGAGCTTGCATTTTACTCTTAATCTCTCACAGAACCCAGCAATCAACAAACATGCTTAATCAACTTCTAATTTGAACTGAGAAGTGGTATTGATAGAGCAAGAGAAGACAGGAGTCCTGGGATCAATCTTCACTGTACCAATAATCTCAAGCAAGTCAAAACTCTGCATGACAGATAAAGTGGATTATTTTGCAACATAATGATGTTAAGGTGCACTGAACTTTATTTCACTAACAAAAGAAGTGAATCAAAAATATTTTTAAATGGTACTGTTCATTGATCAATTAGCATTCTCATGTATTAAATATCTGCTTGTTTTTAGCAATTAAGTATTTGGATAGTTAAGTGGTCTACAATATAATCTGAGTTGGTAAATTTGAACTTCCTCTAATTCTAAAACTCCCTGATTTTCTAAGAATAAGCTCAGGGTGAGTCCAAGTACTACAAATCTACCTCTCCTTTACCCAGTGTGCTGAAGTATGAAGTAGTCCAGGTCAGAGATGTGCTGTTCCCAAAAACTAGAGTGTAGAGAGGAAGAGGCCCAGGTGGCTCAGACCCAGTGCCTTGCACAAACTACTGAAATCACCTGAAATGAGAGGCGGCCCTGGTCTCTAAAAAAGCTGTTTTAAGACTTGAGAAATTTAAGTCAACCAGTCCCCTCTTTGTCCCTAACTAGCCCTAACCTGTTAAGTCACCTCTCCTATCTGTACGATGGCAGGTTGGACTGGATTCTCTAAAGGTCCCTTCCAGGTCTGACATCCAGAGATCCCACATGAGCAGAGCTGAGGATGGCCGGGGAAGCCGCTCCCCCTCTAACCAGGAATAAAACCAAGCCCCTGTGCCGACGGTATGGAGCAGCACAGCAACGATTTCTCAACCAGGCGGCATGAACCCTAAGAGTGGCTATTAGGACTGGGGTAGGGGGCAGTGAGGGCTGTTCCAAACTATTCCCACCCTCTCTATCGAAGATAGTGAGCCAAATTCCTCAGGTGTGTGGGAAGGAAGGAGATAAATCCCTGCAGCAGAGGGTGGGGACCTTTGGTCTCCTTGCACGATGAAGTGCTGCCGGATCGCACTCGAAACCGGGAATGTGGTGAAATGTACTGCCTGCCGGACAGGACGACAGAGAGACCGGGCTTCAACCCTGCCGCAGTCCCAGCGCGGCCACAGGGCCCAAAGCGCGAGAAGCCTACCCAGTCGCTCACTCACCCACAGGCTGCTGAAGTAGTCCAGCCCGCGGCAGATGAGCGCGCCGACGTACGCCAGCAGCACCTGCACGCCTAGGTAGCTGCCAAGACAGTAGAAGCCGTAGAGGAGCGGACCGCCAGCGCCGAGTAACAGCAGCAGGCGGCGGCGGCGCAGCGCCTGCTCGCCCAGGGCCTCCACGCCGTAGTCGGCGAAGCAGAGCGGGAGCAACAGCGCGGCCAGCACGATGGGCGTGTGGGCACGGTGCAGGCGGTGCAGCCAGTGGCGGCCCAGGCGGGTCAGCGAGCTCTTGAAGGGGTGCAGGAAGGTCCCGCACAACACGGCCCAGAGCAGCGGCCGCAGGAAGGCCTCCAGGATGAAGTAGACGAGCACCGCGGCGCCGCAGCACAGGCACACGAACAGCACGGCCCCCGTGTTGTAGAAGGCCTGCTTGATAGGCTTGTCGAAGCGCAGCGCCAGCGCCGCCGTCCGTGGGGTCTCCACGACGCCGCCGCCGCCGCCCAACCCGACGGCGCGCGGCACCCGCGGCGCCTGGCCGGGGGAGCCTCCCGGCTTGGGCGCCTCAGCAAGGCCACTGGCACCATCAGCCATAGCGCCTCAACAACCGCTACCGCCGCCGCCGCGAGGCGGTACTGGGAAGTCGAACCGGAGCGCGGGACGACAGCTCCGGGAGGGAGGCAGGACCGCCAGCGCGCGGTATTGTGGGAATTGTAGTTCCCAGCTGGCCACCGAATGCTTACAGGACCTTGGGAAAACTACATCTCCCAGTAGAGTACGGGAGGAGCTTCTTCGTCCCAGGGTCCCTTCGCCCATTGGTTCCCGCAGGGTCCAAGTAACAGGTTTCTAGGGTCTACATCCTGAGGCAAGAAAAGTTCCCTTCGCCTTTGGTTAATGCCAACTTCTCAGGAGGCTGGGATCCCAAAGAGGCCCGTCATTCAGAAATTGAAAACTCAGGCTGCACATTAGAATCCTGTGGGGAGTACTCGTAAAGGAGTGATGCCCAGATTCTATTTTATTGATTTATTTAATAAACACTAAAAAGTGTTTGCTCTGGTATATTTGACAGAATTTTACATAGCAATTACTATATGGCAGGCACTGTTCAAAGTATCTCACTCCTATTAACTCATTTAATCCTTATAACAACCCTACAAAGAAGGTGGTATTATCATGCTCTTACAAAGAGGAAAATTGAAGAACAGAGAAGTTAAGTACCTAGTGAAGGTCATGCAGCTAATAAACGACAGAAGGAGGATTCAAATGCAAGCAGTATGGCTTCTAAGGAGCCCTGGTGGCGCCGTGGTTAAAGCGCTCAGGTGCCAACCAAAAGTTCGGCGGTTGGATCCCAGCAGCTCAGCAGGAGAAAGATGTGGCAGTCTGCTTCCGGAAAGATTACAGCCTTGGAAACCCTGTGGGGCAGTTCTACTCTGTCCTCTTGGGTCACTATGAGTCTGAATCGACTGGAAGGCAGTGGTGGTTGGGTTTTGGCTCCTAAGTCTATGCATACTCATCTGCTATGCTAGTTGGCCTGAAGCGGGATCGTAGGCTTTTTTTTTTTTTTAAGTTTCTGCTACCTTACCTTACCCTTGCCCACTGTACCTATTGCCATGGAGTGGGCTACCCCGTGTGTTACAGAGTAGAATTGCTCCACAGAGTTTTCTTGACCATAATCTTTACTGAAGTAGTTTACTAGGACTTTTCTTGTGCAGAACCCCTTGCGTGGGTTTGAAGTGCTAACCTTTAGGTTAGCAGCCAATCTAAAACCGCTTGTGCCACCCAGGCTCCTAAAAGCTCTTCAGAGGACTGTAATGTGCAGCCACTGTTGACAACTACTAGTGTAAACGTTGTGTGCTGCGGAGTTAATTCAGACTCATAAGAACACAATAGGACAGAGTAGAACTGCCCCATAAGGTTTCCTAGGCTGTAATCTTTATGGGAACAGATCACCAGGTCTTTTCTCCCATAGAACAGCTGGGGGATTGGAACTGCTGCCCTTTTGGTTAGCATCCAGCACTTAACCACTATGCCACCAGGGCTCGTGTTAGAAAATGTAAACCCCTGAAATAGCTTTAGAACATAGTCACTGCCACTGTTTCTCTTTGAGACCTGTGATCAGGTCAATAAGCCCCCAACCTCAATTTCCCCTCTGTCACAAAAAAGAGGAATGGCTGGGGCAGTGTAAGGTGCTTCTGTTCCTCTGGTGGAAAGGTCCTGGGATCAAAGCCTACCCCCCCATGAAATACCCCAAACAGCATTTTTACTAAAAAAAAAAAAAAAAACTTTACTGAGTATTCAACATGTGGGTGCTTCAAAACCCTGCAAGTTACCATTTCCTGTTTTCAATAATTTTCCATATTAATTTCAACATAATTTTTGTTTCTCCCCTAAAGTACACAGGGAAGATATTATCCAGTTTTCAGATGCAGATACTGTTGCTTTACTAAGACTTGGAAGTAAGGGGATTCAGAAAGTTAATTAGAGGAGAAAGTAATCTCTTTCCATCACCTGTTCAGGTTTCAGGTCACAGTCTTTGTTCTTCAGGTGGTCTTTCGACTTTGACTCTGTAAATATTTTACTTCAGTTGTTCCTACGTTTTGCTTTGCTTCTAAACTACTATGTTAAAGCCTTCCAAGATTATGATTATGTATTATGGTCATATTTACTTTTAGTTTCCATTTTACACTGCCTCAAGTTCTCAGCCTCCCTCTGAAAAATTTCCTCAGTTATTCCTAGGGGGTGCCCATAAATGCTGCCTTGTAGATGCCCAGAGACATGAGTCAACCACTCACCACCCCATGTCAACCCTGCTGCGCACACAGATGAGTTCAGTGCCCATTATAAGAGGGCCAGTGCTGATGTCACTATTCCCAGATCCTGGATACTCCTAAACTTCTAATCCTCGGGGTGCTAAAGCACAGCTGGGCTCCATTCAGAGATGGGGAGAAGTCTTTCTCCTTGACTTGCTGACTCTGTGCCCTTTTGTCATCAAGCCCTGAACCTGGTCACCTATGCCCAATGTATTACAAATCCTCTCATGAATAGCTCCTTTTGTGTCTGGCCTTCAGTCCTCTCACCCTGGGAGCTCAAACCCCATCCAAAGGGACAGTGAGGGAGCAAAGACCAAACCATCCCCTCTGTCCTCCTCCAACCAAAGGCTCAGTTCTCTTCCTCTAATTGCTAAACAAAAGCACCTATCAATAGATGCAAATAGATACTGTATATGTATGCATTGGACAAGGGAGGTTGTTAATGTTACCTAAACTGTGTTGGAGCCACACCTCAGCTAATCAAAAATGCTGTGTCATGGTGCTCTGCTTCCAAGTTTCAGTGGAAAACAAAATTGCTGAACACTTTGAAATTACTTTGAGGGCCAAAGCAATAGGAGTGTCAGGTTCAGGCACAATTCTAGTTAGGAAGGTAACTGTAACAGAAATGCAGACTGAAGCACCATACACAAAGACTAATATGTGTATGGCCTAACACAGGGCGGGGTTCCCACAAGATTTTGCCCACCCATCTATTACTGCAACCACCACACTGTGGTCAAAGGCAGTGGTTTACATGCCTCTCTTCACTACTAAATATGAGCACCTTGAGAGCAGGGACTGTGTTTGCTTCATCTCTGTGTCCCTAGCACCTGACACAGTGAACGATACTTATAGTACAGAGTAGGGGATCAGTAAGTGTTTGCTAAGCAAGTGAATGGTTGAGTGGGGTGTCCTTGAAAAAATTTGTGCATCCTGCATATTCATTTGGTTGACAACAGAGAAAAATTTAAATACATGAACACTCCACTCAAATCTTTAGTTATGATGATCAAGATTGTGTGTTAACTTGGCTGGGCCATGATTCTCAGTGTTTATATGTGATCACTCCCATGACTGAATATGCTGTGAGTAGCCAATCAGATGAAAGGGAGTTTCCTTGGGGGTGTGGCCTGCATCTGAATATAAGCAGACGTTCTGGCTTTTTGCTCACTCTGGATCCTGCAGATGCCTCCTATCGTCTCACCTCTGGTTCTTGGGACTTGAGCTGTCAGCTTATCTGCTGAATTTGGGATTCATGGATCTTCACAGCCTGTGAGCAGAGCCCTGCTCTCTGACCTGTCGATCTTGGGTTCACCAGCCCCTGCAGCTATGTGAATCAGGAGAAACCTTATAGTCTTGCCTGCTGATCTTGGAATTCATCAATCATCACAGCCTGTGAGCGGAAGCCCTGCTCTCCGACCTGCCAATCTTGGGCTCGCCAGCTTCTGCGGCTGTGTGAATTGGGAGAAGCCTCTACCCTGATCCATGGATTTGGGACGTTCTAGCCTCTACAATCATGTGAGCTGTTTCCTTGATATAAATCTCTTTCTATATATATTTATACGCTTTACTGGTTTTGCTTCTCTAAAGAACCCAGCCTAAGACATTAGTTCCGAGGTTCTGTGTTTTTAGGAGTCTCCTCCCAAATGTGAGTCTACTTGGGTTTTCTTTGTTGGTCCCACAATACACCTCCCTCCAACAACCTCAGGTAAGAATGACCTCCATGGGCATTCAGGGCACAGCGGAGGTGAAACAGTCTCAGAATAGTGGATCAAGCTGGCACTGGAAACCACATTACCTCTGGCTTTCCAGTTGCACAAACCAATGAACTTCCTCTGGAGTTGAGCTCCCAAAAATAATGATTGTACTTTGGACATCTTTTCTATCTTCATAGGACCAACCATATAGAAAAATATATACAGTAACTCTCCACTCTGTACCCTTCACCTTCACTGTGGTTCTCACATCTTCTCTTGCCTCAACTATACAGTATCCTCCTAATAGATTTCTTTGCTTCCAGTCTTGCCCTTTGCTATGAGGATTATCTTTCTAAAATATAAATTTAGTGCTGTCATTCCTTTGAATGACAATTGCTGGTGGTTCCCCACTGCAAAAAGAAAGATTTTGCATGGTACATAAGGTCCTATATGGCTAAAGCTCAGCTCTTCCTCTTGCCTACCTAGGTTAATTCCCATTTGTCTTTAAGTCCCAGCTAAAACATCACCTCCTTGGTAAAGCCTTCTCTGATCTAGGAAGAATTAGCAGCTACCTTCACTGTGCCCCTGTAACACTTGTTTTTACCTCTACTCAAGTGCCTACCATATCATACTGTAATCATTTTCACAAATAACTGAATTTCCCCATTGGATCAGAACTCATTATTGAGGTTTTTTGTATTTCCTGCAGCCTTACACACATTATTATTTTTAATAATTTAAAAAAATTAGTGAATGAATACTGTATTACTGTAGAGGCTGCAAGATGTGCTGTAAAGGACAGAGGCTTTTAAAGTAGACAGAATTGAATTCTAATGCTGACTCTGCCACTTTCTAGCTATATTCCCTTGAATGAGCTAACTTATTTGGGCATTTTTCTTCATTTGTATAATAGAGATAATAAAATCCACATTGCAGGGCTGTTGTGAGGATTAACACTACTGTATATAAATATCTTACATGGTACTTGGCCACAGAGTAGGCATTGAATAGTCATTACGTACTTCCCTTCCCACATGGCCCTTTATATGTAGTAGCTACCTTCTAGGAACTGAACCAAACTATAATGGTTACTTTACAATAG